CCCCAAAACCCCAAAACCCCATCTGCCAATATCCTTAAATAATTTGATAATTAAATAAATAGAAAATGTGAGAGTGTGAAAGGTAAATATTATTGATTAATCAAATTCAAATTATACTCTTCATACTATTATTTTTTACCTTATATTTTAAAAATGTATTTTCCTCATATTTAGTCCTTGACTATTTTTCTTAATAAGTCAAAACCAATAGGCTTAGTTAAAAAGCTATCCATGCCAAAGTCAAGACACTTTTATTGAAATGCATCTGATGTGTATGCTGTCAAGGCTGTAATATAACTTCTAGGTATATTCAAATCAAGTTATTTTTCAAAATCCCTTATTTATTAAGTGGCCTGAAATCCATCCATTACAGGCATGTTACAATCCATGAAAATCAATTTATAACCATTTTATCTATTACAAGAGCACTTTATGTTAGCACTGTCCTGATATCTCTGTTTTACTTTTGTTACAGCTTCTAGCCCATTCGTAGCCTTATCCACCTAGAGTTTTAACTGTAATTGTAATATTGCTTCTAATGTAACAAGATTGAAGATGTTATCATCGACAATGAGAATATCTTTAAAAGTTGAACAAGAGCAGTACTTCTTTTAAACTTCATTTTTCATGAAAATTGGTTAATGTTGAATTGGCATCTTTATTTCATCATCAACGAAATCAATAGTTTAAGTTTAACTTGATTAGAAATCACAGCATTCCTTATCATGTTCCACAGCAAGTTTAGATTCTTCATCATATTTCATGAAACTTGAGTTTTCAAATGTCTTATTCAATGATGTTGATTGGAAATTTTAATTTATCTCTAAGTAGTAGTTATTTTAATCGTTAACTATAATCGGGGCATTTAAAGAAAATTAGAATTTGCAACCGTGAATATAGCTTTCATCAAGTTAAATACTTCCATCAAACATCTCAATAATTTTCTTGCAAATGCTTAATCCTAACCCTATTCCGCTTGTGTTTATTTTAGAAGTAGCATCTAGTTTTCCAAAGAGAGTGAAGAGTTTTTAGGAATCTTCAGATTTGATCCCTATGCCGGTATCAGCTACACTGATATTCAATTACTAGGATTTGAAGTTGTAGCTAACTTCAATCATAATATGACCTTAAAAAGTAAATTTCAATGAATTTGAAAGCAGGTTCAAGATGACTTGTTTAATTCTCTATTCATCTGCGTATACCTAATCTGGAAAATCTTGATCGATCTTGGTAATAATGTCTATACCTTTTTCATTAGCCCCAATCTTGAAAATTTCTACTAATTCTTCAATTGAAGATTTCAAGTCTACCCATTATTGATTTTTCTTAAATTTCCCATTCTTAATCTAGAAAAAGTCTAGTAAATCATTAACAAGGAAGCACATAAACTTTGATGAATTTTTTAATATTCCTAAAAATCTTTTGCCTGTCGAATCTGTAATGTAGTTATCTAGATTGCTTAGCAATCCTCCCATTATATTCAGAGGTGTCCTGAGATCATGCGAGACTGTAGCTGTTAGCATTTCATAAAAATGGTTTTCTATCTTAAGTTTCTGGCATTTTATTTCAGGAGTTAAGTCCTTAACCATAATCATTTGATGAACAATGTTCTAGAATAGAATCTCGCAAGATGATAGACTTACTATCAAAGTTTGATTTGTGGTAGATTAGATTTGGTTAGATTCATTTTGATTGCCTAATCTTAATTAAAATGTCAGGTTCGTGTCTTCATTGCTTAAAACTGATCCCTCTTTGACTGAATATAAACTGGCTAACAAATTTTTTTAACTGCCATTTTCACTTAGAAATAGTTGAAGCACTTTTTCATTGAGGCAGTCAGATGATATCTACAAAGATACTGAGTCATTGTCACTTCCTTCTACTGGCTATCTTATGTTAAAAAGCCTCTTATATTCTTCATTTATTAGCGAAATAGATTGCGATTAGTTATTAAAAAGAATTATGCCTTCAGGAAGTTTATCAAATAGCTTTTTCATATCTTCATTCATGATTTATATCTATTACAGTTATATAAAGCATAACTTCAATCTCATTTCATGATAATAGCAAGCATAATTTAGCAAAAATATTCCAACTAGTGTGACAGTATGAGTATAGATTGTATTACTTTCTAGAATGCAAGTATAGTAAACAACATAGCTAATAATCGATAGAATGTTAATAGAACTTGTTATTATCCAACTATAACTTAATAAATACCCATCAGTAATATGATAAAATAGACTAGCGAGACAACCAGAAATTTCTTCTTTCGAAGATTCATTATTAATTGATGCTAATACTGTTAAGAATGAAGGAAAGGTCATAATACTCAGAAATTTACAAAGTTTTTGAGGCCATTTCCATGCTAATACAAATGATATTATTTAAATTGCAGTTCTGGAAAGAGAAAGTACTAATTATAGCTTTGTCAATTTTATTGATGGACTTAGTATTACCAAGAATATACCAATTACTGCAAACAATATTCTGAAGATAAATGAAAATTTTGCCATGAAAAGAATGTCTTTATTTCTTTAGACCTAGTATAATTTGCTTATATTAGGATCTGATATTTTTAGTGTAAACTTAGACTCCATTTAGGTTGATTTTCTCTAGTTAATTTGTAAATTTTAATTATTTGATTTTATATTATATATTATGGAACTTTATTCGAATTCTAAACTTTTCCTCAGTTAAAATGAGAATTTTAAAATAATGTTTCCAAATTAAGTGAACTAAATGAATTTAGTTTTACTCTTTAATAATTTCATCAAATAATTGTTAATTCTGCTATGTGGGGTTTTGGGGTTTTGGGGTTTTGGGG